CACACTGGTGAAATGCATGGTGTTACTGCCTCCATGTCCTGCTTATAGTTAGTTACCCAGTGGGAAACTGGAGATGGGACAGATAGGTCTTGGATAAAATCTAGATAAAATCTTAAATTCTCACTGATATAATTTTGTAAAATAGTTATATTTTCCCATCAACTCAAATAAAATGAAAATTATTGTCAGGAGGTGAACACAGAACAGTTGCACAATCTCTACAGAGGAAGCATTCTCTTTGGCACAATTCAATGACTTCCTTACAATGGTCTCAGAACTACAATGGCATTTCTTTTTTGGGGGGGGGGCGGGGGAAGCAGTTGAAACAGTAAATTATGTTTCATTGCATTGCCCATTTTATGCTACTACACTTTTAGAACTGGTAACCCTACATAATTCACTGGTTATCCTGCTAATGTTTACAATTTTTTCTCATATGTACATGTGACCCAATTCGTTTAAACATAGCCAAATTTTACTATTTGTAAAATCATAGTTGATTCATTGATAGGGCTAATTTGTTTTACAATTATTGCTTATCTATATGTAACTTGTTTATATTATTAAGCTTCACCGTGTACTGGAAAGAAAGGAAGGAAGGAAGGAAGGAAGGAAGGAAGGAAGGAAGGAAGGAAGGCCAGACAGCAAGAAAAAAAGTGGAATGGAGGGAGGAAAGAGAGAGAGACAGAGAAAAGGAAAGCAAACAAGCAAGCCGTTTCTGGAATGTGGAATAAAAGAGGGAAAAGACTTCTTGTAATCTTTTCTCACCGAAGTATAAACTATAGCAGAGAAAATGAACAATGAAAATATAGTGAGTAAAATCATTCAAGAAAATGTTCCAAAAGGTAACTATAAATTTTCCACAAGCAGATAAATATAATGTAACAACTAGATACATATAAACAATGTAAAATAGACATAAACAAACAGCAAACAGGCAGTTAATAAAAGAAATCTCTATTTCACTAATGGATCATTGGGTATATATTCCTGGTGAAACAAACAGTATCATCTCCTGTAAACAAAATTAATCTCAGGTCAGGCATATAGTGAGGAATATCTCAAATATTACAAAAATGTGATTAATCTTTGCTTTTCCAATAATACATAGCCTTGAGTTCCTTTCAATTAGATGCCCAAGTTCTAACAACATTACTATCTTTCATCAGAAGAGAATTAATTGGATACTTGCATTCCTGATGCTTTACATATCTATCAAAATGATTATTCAACAAGTTTGTTTTTGCAATGTTCTGTCCTTAACTGCTAGTAGACATGTAGGTTTTAACTAATTGTATTTTCCTTATTTGCTCCTCTTTGCTGTGTCACCCAGTTTATGCTCATATTTAAGGGAATACTCATCTTTGTATTAGGTTTTTTGCAGATACCATCTTATGAAAGTAGTCTGGTCAACAATTTCTACTCTGACTTTTATCATCCATATTGTTCTTTTTCAGGCATCACAGATGTAAAATTGCAGCTTTGGTGGTCAAAATATCTTGTCTGTAGGGGAAACACTCAGCACACCTCGTTTACTGAACAGATTTGCAACCTTCCAAGTACCAGCAGTTTCTTATGTCTCTGATTGTTTCAGTTTTTAAAGAGAAGCTTTTAAAATAAAACCTCAAAATCAGAAATGCAAGCACTGCAACTTTCTCAAGTATAATGACCCCAGTTTACTAGAGTTCAGTGAAATGGTTCAACTTTCCATTGTGCTTACATCTCCAGTTTAGCATTATGCAAGTGTACTGAAGGCAATGGATAATTTAATGAATAATCAGGAATAATACCCCTTTTCCAAATGGTCTATTAAATTAGGGTTTTGCTGTTCAATATTATCCAGAATAAATTATTTTATTTCCTCTATATTTTTCTACTCAGCAAAAGCATTCAAGGCAGCTACCAAAGTATTAAAAATTGAAAGAGACTATAAAGTTAAAAAACAAGGATTAAAATTTTAAAAAGAGGTATGTAGGAGAGAATGGAGACTAAACACAATTTTTGGGAACGGTTTAGAAGTTCCCAGAACAGTTCCCAATGCAAGGATGTCTGGCCTCGAACACCAGGACATTTCCTGCACGTCTGAATAACTGGACAGTCTTGTAATGGTGGTCCTTCAATGGTTGGCCAGGCCTAAAATCTATTCTCAACATAAGATCAATATGACACCCTAAGGGCCCTAGATTTCAAGGGGGCCACTAGTAAAAAACATATAATAGAAAGCCATGGCACATGCCAAGTGGCACCCCAAAGAGCAAAGTGTATTATATTTATGATGATTTCCTAAAATATTTCATTCTTCTAGGAGAGGGGTGGGTGCTAACTTCCTACAGCATCAACATGCAAAGGCTTGGCCATGGCTAGGGTTGCCAGGTCTGCTTCCAAAAAATAGCGGACAAGTGGGGGGGGGGTTAAGTAGTAAAAAAATAAAAAAAAATTACAATTAAATTATATATTTTCTTACAAACATTTTAACAAGTATTAAAATAATCACTTCAAAACTTTACTTAAAATTCAAAACATCAAATATATTATAATAATATGTAAAATATTAAATTACATTTTACTTTGCTGTCGTGTGTATTTTTTATTTGACTGCGCAGCTTTGATCAATTCTTTGTGTTTAAGGAATAATTCTTTAATTTCAGTACAATGTTGAGAAATATTAAAAAATATACAAAGTTCACTTCGAACTGATGGTACAAGCAGTCGGTTACGTTCGTCAGTCCACAAATTTCCCATGACGCTGAAAATTCATTCAACGTTTGCATTTGATACCGGAATTGATGCACAATACTGGAACAGTTTCAGTAAACTCGGAGCTGGCTCTTTCTTGAAAAAGTACGTCCACTTATCAAGGGATGAATCGCCCTGCAGATGAACATAAACTTCTTCTAAGGCAGAAATTTCATCAAAGAGAGTATTGGGTGGAAGTTCTTCTCGCCATGGTGATAATAACCAGATGTTCGTCATTTCTTCTAAAGTTGGAGGATTATTGCGATCAATTAGATTGAAACAATTTAGCGTCTCATGTACCGAATCGGTGAAATTATACCACTTTTCTAGGTACGCAATGGCTCTTTGATACACGTTGATGGCTTCTTTCTTGAACTTTTGCACGGCATTCTCAGGCAAATGTTTTTTTACGTAAGGCAAATAAAACTTTCATTCCAAAAAAACTGCTCATCGTACTTTTTGTCTCATTCTAACTTATGAAAAAAAAAAAGACAAAACGCGATTCTCCTATCCTTATTCTCTTACTTATTATTATCTCTTATTCTCTTTAGATTAGGTACCATTTCATCATAAAGCTTTTGAATAAAAAAAAATGTCCACTATTTTGTGAAAAAAAAATAGTGAACATAATGTGAAAAAAAAGCGGACTGTCCGCTCAAATAGCGGACACCCGGCAAGCCTACGCCAGCTTAGCTTCCAAGGCTGACAGCCACCGCCTTTGATTTTGGCCATGTTTGGCCTGAAAGCTGGCCCCCCTCCTCAGTCCTCTGCAATCAGTCCTTGTGTGCGCGTGTGGCGCGAGCTCCACTTCATTCTTGTGTCTGTGTAGGCCCAGTCCATTCCTTTGCAAACAGTCTGCCTGTTTGGGTTATGAGCCTCCCTCCATTTTTCTGCAGTTTGTGTGCCCTTTTGTGCCCAGTCCCAATCCACATTCCTCTGCAAACTCTGTGTGTGTGTGTGTCCCATACTATGCCGTTATACAAAATAAATAAATAAATAAATAAATAAACGAACGTGTTCCTACTTCAAGACCTGAGGTCTTCTGTATGGGCGGGGGGGAGGCGGTGGCCACCATTTTGACTTTTTTGCCCTGTCTTCCTCAAACAGGGCACCTCTGAGGCGCAGCTCCTCATCAAAGGCCCGCCCGGAGTCGTCTCGGCCTAAGAACAGCATCCTAACGACCACCACCTGCACCCGTTTCAAGGATTTACGACCGCCTCCATTGCCGGGAGCAAGGCAACCCCCAGCTCCCCCCCCCAATTTCCTCCTTTTGCTTCAGGGTTAACAGAGGGGGTTAATTGAGAAGCGCGTCTCTAGCCCCCTCTCAAAGCGCCGCCGCGCCGTACACGTGTTGGCTCATTCCACACGTCCCCGCTTCCCTAATACTATCAGCGCCGCGAGGTGGGTGGTGTGTGGGTTGGGCGTGGCCGCAGGGCACGTGGTCGAAAGTCCCGCCCCGCCCCTCGCGCTTCCCAGCAGAGGCGACGGTTGGTTTTGCGCACCTCCCGCCGCTGCCTCCTCCAACGGTCGCCCGCGCGCCGACGGGTTGTTTACTTCGCCGGCGGCTCCACCCACTCCTCCTCCCCCCGGCCCTCGCGTCCGGCGATTGGCCCTCGCCGCGGCCAATCCCGGCCCTCGTAGGCCCTCGAGGCGGGCGCGGGGAGAAGGCGGGGTGCACCGTGTGTAAGGCGCCCTTCCTTGAAGAAAAAAAAAGTTGTAAAGGGAGGGGGAGAAAAACATCCACCCTTCTCCGCCAAAATGCCTTCCTGCCTTGCTGATTGGCCGGCCGCGAGGGAGTCGTGCCCACCGATTGGTTGACCGAGCTGCAGCTCAATCTGCAGCGGCCGGCCTCTCTGTGTATGTGTATTTTTTTCTCAGTCACTCATCTTACACGCACGCACGGAGCTGCTCCAGCCTCCGCCTGGCGTCTGTTCCACTGTGTGAGACGATGATTGGACGGCGCCCAAGCCCCTCCTTCCGTGCCTCTTGTCTCTCAAAAACACACATACAAACCTCGACGACGTTCCACTCCCCGGCCCCCAACTATTAATCATTCCCGCCGTTCATTGGGCCGAACGGCTGCCCGTCATTCTCAAAGAGGCGTAAGAACCCACCCGCCAGCCAAGGGCGGGGTGGCTGACGATTGGAGCCCCGGAGAAAACTCCGCCGACTCCCATTGGCTGCCGCCCCGCCCGCTCCTCCAGGCTCGGCCGCGGAGTCTCCCCGCGCCGCCCCGCCCCGCCCCTGGGCGGGCCCCAAGCGCGGCCTCGCCTCGCCTCCCCCCTTTTTCCTCCCCACCCGCGCGGGAGGGGGTGTGGGTCACGTGATGTTTTCGCCGTGGTGCCGCCGAGCCTGCTCGCTGGTGTGAGGAGAGAAGCGGGAGAGTCGGAGGAGCCCGGCGCGTCCGACCGGCGGCGAAAGGGTGGAAGCCGCCGGCTTGTCCGTTGCCTCGCAGGCCGGGAGCCGCCGGCTGGGCCGACGCCGAGAGTCCCGCGGGCACACATGTCCGGCCGGGCCTGGGAGACCCTTCCCTTGTGAGGGCGTCTGCTTCCCTCGCCCGCGGAGCGATTTGGACCCTGCCCTGGCCCCTTAAGATGGCGAGCGCGCTGATGCTTGGCCCCGGCGGGGAAGGCGGCTGCACCGCGTTGGAAGGCAAAGGCGAGGCGGTGGGCACCGCGGCCGGAGCAGCAGCAGCAGCAACGGGCGGCGGCGGTGGCGGCGGCTCCAGCGGGGCGTCCAGGCTGGCGGCGCCTGAGGAGGACCAGGAGCCGGGCGAGAGTGCTCCCTGCCCGCCCCCGGCTCAGCCCCCGCATCATCTCATGCTCCTGCTGAGGAAATCGCCCAGCAGCTCCCTCTGCCTCGTCCAGGAAGAAGATGCCTTGTTGCCCGGGGACCCTGCAGCGCTGGGGCGAGCAGGAGCCCCTGCCACCCCCCTGGGCCGGAGTGGGCCTCCAGCGACCTCTGCCCGGGGGTCTGCCCTGACGCCCCCAGCAAGCATCACCTGGGGGGACGACGTGAGGAAATGCGGCTACCTGAGGAAGCAGAAGCATGGGCACAAACGGTACTTTGTGTTGCGGGCGGAGAGTCACCTTGGCCCGGCCCGACTGGAATACTATGACAGCGAGAAGAAGTTCAAGAGTAGCTTGAGAGCGGCGGCGGCTGGAGGGAATGTGGCCCTTTGCTGCCCGTCTCCCAAAAGGGTGATTCCTCTCTACCAGTGCTTCACTGTCAGCCGGAGGGCAGATGCCAAGCATAAACACATCATTGCCCTGTATACCAAGGATGAGTATTTTGCCATGGTGGCTGAGAACGAGCCTGAGCAAGAAGGGTGGTACCAGGCCATCAGTGAGCTCATGAGCCAAAGCAAGAGAGGGTTCTTGGAGCAGGAGGACCAGGCTGATCAGCAGCTGGACGATGACGATGAACATTATGGAGCTGCCCTTCGCCCAGGAACTGTATTCAAAGAAGTTTGGCAAGTCAACGTGAAGCCTAAGGGTTTGGGGCAGACCAAGAATTTGACAGGGGTGTACAGGTTATGCCTTTCCAGCAAGGCCATTCATCTGGTCAAGCTCAATACTGAAGTACCTTCTGTCCACTTACAACTAATGAACATTCGGCGATGTGGGCACTCGGAAAACTTTTTTTTCATTGAAGTGGGCAGGTCAGCCTCCATTGGACCAGGTGAGCTATGGATGCAAGTAGATGATTCAGTGGTTGCCCAGAACATGCATGAGACTTTTCTAGAGACCATGAAAGCTCTGAAAGCCTTCTCTGAGTTCAGGCCTCGCAGCAAGAGCCAGTCTTCTGGTGGTGGCAGCAGTACAAATCCTATCTCTTTCATAACTACCAGGAGGCATCTTGGTAATCTACCACCGAGCCAGACTGGCCTACAAAGAAGGTCCCGAACTGAAAGCGTTACAGGGGGGACTCCTCCCACTACCAAAAGCAGCAGTGCTTATCGCTTCAGAACTTCTAGCGAAGGGGAGGGGACAATGACCAGACCATTTAGATCAGTTACTGGAAGTCTGATTCATTTGAATACTGCAAGGATGAATTTGGGCCGCCAAGAAGGGAGTGGACGATATGTTAGAGCAGCATTTAGCTCTTCTTATCATACCAGGTCTGCTTCTCTACCAGTTTCTCATTTTCCTTCTACTACTAGTCCTATCAGTGTTTCTTCAGGAAGTGGGCATGGATCAATTACCGATAACTTTGTAAGGCCTTCCAGTTCATCTGTTTGTGGGTCTCCAAGTGATGGAGGTTTCATTTCCTCAGATGAATATGGTTCTAGCCCTGGAGACTTTAGGTACTTTCGTGTGAGAAGTAACACGCCAGATTCCCTGGGCAATACTCCACCAATCAGAGAAGAAAATTGTTTAAATGAATACATGTCCATGAACAAACAGCAAATGGATAATAGTTCAAGAGATGATTACCGGGAGGCTGACAAATGCTTTAGAAAAAGAACATACTCATTAACTAAGCCTGCTTCAGTACCGGGACAACAGAAAACAACCCAAACTGCTTTAGATGAAGATTCCTCAGGAAGCCATGGACGCCTGTCTTGTTCTGAATCACCAAGATTCAAAAATAACCCTGAACCTGAGTATGAGGAATCAATTCTTGATTCTGTATGTAATCAAAGCAAGAATAAAGCCAGAGATGATGGATATATGCCAATGATGCCAGGAGTTGCATCTTCTCTGGCAAGCAACAGTGACTACTTGCCCATGACTCCTAAAAGCATGTCTGTTGCAAAACAGATTAACAGTTCCTGGTTGTCATCTCAGGCTGATTCTAAAGGATACATGATGATGTTTCCCCGAGGTGTCTCTTCGCCTATACGTAATCCCTTAACTGAATTTAATTCTAAGTCTGGTCATGAAAAGTCAACAAATAATGAGTACATGGATATGTCTCCTGGAAATTCTGCTGCTCCGAAGCAACCCTGTGATCCAGATTATATGCATGCCAACATCGATTCCAAAAATTTTAGCTCATATTTCTCTCTCCCACGAAGCTTTAAGGCTCTAACCGGGGAACATGATGAATATGTTCCAATGTCATCACCTGGAAAATTATTGTATGTTGGATCTGAAAATGGGAAAAGCATCAGCAATGAAGTCCTGGCTAATGGCCTTTCCAGATCACCCCATCTGAAAAGTTCAGAAGAAGGCCTTGCACAGAATAGAGTTACTAGGCCTACGAGACTTCCACTCAGTACTAGAGGTAGTAACACCATACCAAGAATGTACGATCGCACAATTCCACTTGAGCCATCTAGCCCTGGTGAATATATAAATATAGATTTTGGTGAAAAAGCAAGTAACACGCCATATTCTTTATCTGCAGAAGGATCTCCATCATCTCTTGGTTCCAGTAGTGACCATAGGCAGTCACCGCTTTCTGACTACATGAGTGTTGATCTGGATGTCCAGTCCCCCAAAGCTGCTAAAGAACTATCTAACTCTCTGACAGATATTTCAATTTATGCAAATTCAAGTATCCCTAGAAACCTGCGTGATGCTGATTATGCTAGACTTTCATTTGGTACGGCTTGTGTTAGCACAGCATGTGGTAGGATTGATGACTACACCGAGATGACCTTCAACATGGCAGCCACACCACCTGGACCATTTGCCACTGAAAGCAAAAACGGATTAAAGATTGATAGTCCTCCTTCTATAGTTAACCGACTGTGCATTGTTGACCAATATGCTAGTCACAGGGACTTCCCTGTCTCTAATCCTGATCCTCCTGTAGTACCTAAAGTCATTCGAGCTGACCCACAAGGAAGGAGGAGGCACAGTTCTGAGACCTTTTCTTCTTCAGCCACTGTTACCACTTCTTCCTCTTTCTTTACTGACAGTAGTAAAAGGCACAGCTCGGCCTCTTTTGACAACGTGTGGTTGAAACCTGAGGAACATATTTCAGATGGCCATGAAAGCAAGATGTCCAGAGATACTTCAACTGGATTTCAGAATGGCTTAAATTATATAGCTCTGAATTTACAGGAGAATTCACTAAACTGTGAGGAGAGCCCTAACACACCAAATTGCCACCTCCCAAATGGTACTCTAAATCTGGAAAGTGGAGTATATGTAAGCATAGATTTCAGCAGATCAGACAGTTTGAAGTGCAACTCCGCAAGGAAAGGTTTGTAATTTTGGCAGACACCTGCTATAATACTTAATGCATGTAAAGTTTCAGTATATTATTTTGAATTACAACTTTATAAAATATTGTATGTACCTTAATTAACACCTTTCATTTCCCAAACCGTTTCCTTGGGTGGCAACACTATATCCCTATCCCTTAAACAGCCATTCTTCTCTGCTAGACTGCAACACCCATCACCCTCAACCAAATGTTGTGGGTGTTCAGTTGCAGTCAAGGACAGACTGAAAAGTTCTGAGCAAAAACAACAACATAGTCCGAAGTCTTAAATCATTAGCACTAAATGTAACTCTGACATGGTATTCTTTTTTGTTGAATTATCTTTATTAAGTTTGGTAATACAGTAGTCAGATTTAAACTATTTGGGCAGGCATAAATCGTGCTTGCACTTGTAATTCCCAAGTTTGGGTCAAAAGTTTTAATCTTCCCAAGTTTGGGTCAAAAGTTTTACATCTTTCAATATAGTAGCAAAAAAGCAATAGCTGTACACATTCCCAGAAATATTTGAACCGTCCGTTTTAAATCCTAATGTTTTGTTTTTTTTAAAATTTGATTTATATGCCGCCCTTCTCCGGAGACTCAGGGCGGCTTACAGTGCGTTAAGCAGTGTAAGCGTTAAATTTCAGGCACTGTAGGTCCTGAAATTTATTTTCTAATTCATAGTTTTAGAGAGTTTAGAGTTACAAAACAATCACATTTTCTCAGGTCTTGGAGAAGAAATGCTCCAATTTCAGTACAGTTTCCCTCTGGTTTTTTTTTTTCTATGGCAGGTCATGTTTAACAGGTTGTAGGCCAAAGTAAGATTTGTGGTGTCATTTGTTTTTATTGTTTTAACTTTAAACTATAGTTTTATAAAAGTAACTATTACAGTGAATTAAGTTGGATTCCCTTCCCCCAAAGATTTCTGGGAATAGTAGTTTTTGGAAGGGAAAGAAAAATAGAACACACCTCTGTGTTCTATTACATGATTACATGATTCTAATTACTGTTTAAGGTCACTTAGCAACTAATGATTATTTGCATGTATTTTCTGTACATAGTATTTAAAAATACCAGAATGACAACTGAGTAATACATTACTATTATTTTTTAAGAAGAACTCTTTGACTGTCACTCCATGTACACACATTATAAAAGTGTCCTAGAGTCCAAAATTTTGAACCATATGTTTTGTGTACACCTTACATTTTGGGGGCAGTTTCTAAAATTGAGTCCCTTGTTGGAGCTCCCATCCTCTGTGATTATTAGTTATACTAGCTGAGAGTTGTAGAGAGGGATGAGGTTATAGTTCAATGCTTCTTGAAGTCACCAGGTTGGGAAAGTGCTTTATAGCCTATGGAAAAGATTACATAAAAGATGAGTCAATCTGTTAAGCAGGGCATTGGGATTTAGAAAAATATGCAGCTTGCCTTGGTGTTCTTTTCTCTTGTTTTGACTTTGGCTAGATTCAAAGCATTTAAGTGTTCTCCCTAAGCTATTGAATTTCAGTCATGCGTGGAATGTCATCTTTTTGTAAATTAAGTGCATTCAGTTTCATTAGAACCAAAACTAGTGAGACCTTGTACTGCTTTGGAGCTGTTTTTAAGAACTCAGTTTATATCTGTAAAGTGTAATTGTACCTACCAGTATATACATATATGAAGTGAGAAATTGGCTTTCTGTATCTGACTGTAGCAATTGAAAACTACAGATTAAATTTTTAGTATGTTACATACTATCTTATTGTCTATTGATACCTTAATTGAAAATTTAAGAGAATTGTTGCATTTGCCTGTGCTTAATTTATATATTACTCCGTACTGAGGTTTACCATGGTAACTTTAATATGAAAGAGATGAAAAGTTTGGGAGTGGTAATAGTTGCTGAGTTTGGTAGATTTTAAGATTCTGACTATTGTTTCCTTATTCAAAAGCCATTTGTGTACATGCAGTTTATGTGTAGGAGAGTTAGTGTGTTGTAGGCAGTTGCTACAATCCAGCCCAGAATTATGAGCGCTTAAGCTTATTGACCTACTACTCCTTATTTTCCATCTCTTCTATGATTAATTACCATATTTGAATAAAACCTATTCCCGGTGGTAAAAATGTGCTTTCCTACTTGGAAGTAGTTGGGAGCCTTTCAGGTCCTACAGAAGTAGAGTTTTCAAGTATCTCTCCTTAATAATTGTACCAAGTGGAACAATGAAATATAATAATGTCAGAGTAGGTGGATTACGTCTCTCTGGTTGCTATGTTCTGGCTTTATTTTTACAACCCCACAGGTCCAACAACAACTTTATTCTAGTATACTGTAGGAACCCAACTTTTGTGGCTACTTGTACTTCGTTTTGTTGTGTGAACTTTGAAACAAGAATAAAGTGAATAAGCAATGACTAAATTAACCATGGCTCAGTACATACTGTGAATACAGCCTTTTTCATTTCATCTGTGAGCAAAGAAAGCATGAACATCATTACACGCCTATTCAAACTTGTTTAGGCTACTTCAAGGCTGGGACATGTTTGTCTCTAGATGTTGTAGTCTTATTAACAATCTAACATCAGAGGTGTTTTCAGTATTCTGTGATTAAGAGCTAATCATAAAGGTGCAGTTTATGTTTATGATACAGGCTGAATTGCTCATTTACTTTAAGCATCTCCACTCAAATTTTGTAACATGGTTTACATGTAAAATGCAACAAATTTCCCAGAAGTATGAATTATGGTGCAGGGAATCTGATTCTTTTATTCCAAGGCATCATACTTTATTACTTATATGGGAAGTCTGAATACAAACATTTCTGCTTAAAACTGTAAAGCAAAATGTGAGTTTCAGGTAACTTGATGAATACACCTACTTTTCTCAGCATGTTTCACATCTGGCTTAATAATGTATGCATCTTTTTTGCTTAAAAAGATTATTGCTTTAATATAATATTGCATATTGTTTCTGCAAATAGAGCTTGAAAGGGTTTGTTCTTCAGGATTATGGCATATACTAATTAGCACAAAAAGTTAATGAACTCTGACAAGTTTTGTTGTGAGAAGCAAGACTTATCTGCCAGAAATTGTGTTGCACTGAAGTTCCCCTTTTTCCTGGGATCCAAACAAAATATTGCTAGCAGTTATTCTATTACTATGCCCCTCCTCCATGCTTTTTATGAATAGGAAGAGTTGATTCCTCTTGCCAAACAACTGGAAACTAGGGAAGCAGAACATTATATTGTGATAAATTGAAGGTGACATCTTGTGAGCAGGAGTAAACATTAGACTGAAGTGAATTGTAACAAAACACCAGTCATTTCTTCTCACAGAAAAGTTATTCAGGCTGTGGCAGTTTGTAGCAAAGGAGTGGAAACAGGAGTATCCAATTCAACTCTACTGTTTATTCTCCCAAGCTTGTATTTGAACCTTCTTTTGGCAACTGGTTTTAGGAAGAAATGTCAAGCAAAAAGTCAAGAACCTTTTCCCAATCTTTTATTTCTTCTTCCAGAATGCTTTCCCCACCACTAAAGCCAGTTTGCTTTAACACAAGCAGCTCCTGGAGTTTACTACATTAAGTCGGAGCTAAAATGACCTGGTTTTATTTTCACATAGTGTAAGTTTTTTTAAAAATAGTAACTCCTCAATTGTATTTGGCTTAAGCAATTGGAAAACAGTTTACACCTCCCTCCCCCTCAAAAATAATTAAAAATATAGTATCTGATCAAGAGACTTAAAATGGAAGTAATCTGTACAAAGAAAAATTTGATACAGATATTGTTACATTTCAAAATATCAAAACATTGAAAATTTTTGGGAGAAAGAATACTGGCTAATAGTTTTAATAATACACTTTTCAGATGTTTTATAACATTGGAGTTCCAAATTCTGGCACAATTGTTTACATATGATACACATCTGAATTTGGTAAATTGTGGTAAAATAGGTAAAATCTTCTAAAGTGCAAGGAAAGCTTTTCACATGCAAGTAGCCCTTGACATGATCACAATTGAGCCCCAAATTTCTGTTGCTAAGTGAGATATTTGTTGTGAGTTTTGCCCCATTTTACAACTTTTCTTGTCATGGTTATTGAGTGGATCACTGCAGTTGTTAAATTGGTAACATAGTTGTTAAGTGAATCTGGCTACCCCATTGTGTTTGCTTGTCAGAAGGTCGCCAAGGGTGATCACATGACCCCAGGATATTACAACCATCATAAATACAAACCAGTTGTCAACTGTCTGAATTTTGGGGATGCTGCAGTGGTCATAAATGTGAAAAATGGTCATAAGTCACTTTTTTCAGTGCTGTTGTAACTTTTGAGTCATCACTAAACAAACTTGTAAGTTGAGGACTACTTGTAGAAGAAACTCACTATTGGAGGGCAATTTAGATTGTAATAAGAATGACAGAACAAAACAAGTATTGTTGACTCTAGTTACCTTGCTTGTAAAAATTACATTGATTGTAATCATGAAAAGAACTCTCTTCTACTCTTGTCATTGTCCTGTTTATTTGACCAGAGGAAATTCCATTCCAAAGCACCATCTGTAATAGAAATATTAGCATGGTATTTCACAGCCTGTACTCATATAGCATGCTAAATCTCTAGTTGGTTACAGGGCTGCACCTGCCATCTACTCCCTTCAGATACTTACCTGGGGCTATGTGTGTCATGCAGACCTACCCAGCCAATTATATATTACCGAAATAATCAGTTTTTCTAATCATGGCTTAGCAAATCATGGTTTAATATGGTCTGAAGTGTGTATGTACAGCCTGCTCTTACATGCTCAGTTTAGTAATACAATTTCTGCATTGTCAGTTCCTATCAGTTCCATATCCAAAGCATTTTTAAAAAGCTTTTTAAAGCTTACAGTTTAGATACTGAACAAGTGACAGACTGGAAAAATGCAGTTTCAACTGTGAAGCTTGGACATTTTATTTTCTTAACAATTTACAGAGATTTTTGTTTGCTATTCTTATATAGGAAAATCTCTAATATAAATTCAAAGCAAATGGTATATGCTATTACATCTTCCAACATTGATCAGATTCTGGTATGTGTGTTAAGACAGTCTTGCACACTGAACAATCAATACATTAGGATGACTATAACATGCTTAAAGAATGCTAAAACTGAAATACTTTCATTAAACTATTGCAAGATACAATGTGTGTTTATCAAACAGAATGTTAATCAAGAAATGCCATTTTAGTAATTTCAACAGAAATATAAGCCAAGCTTTCAACAATTACACTTTTCCTTTCAATGTACCATACATGCAACTTTTCAACCAAAATTTTAGTTTAACATTTTTTGTGCTTTCCCCCCCAACTAAAATGGTTTTCAGGTTGCAGGTAAAATAATTATTTGCACCTTTTAGGCACATGATGTCAAATATCCATATGTCACCTTCTCAAGTTTAGAAGACTGGGAATGAACAACATGCATGGAAGCAAGCAATCTTATTTTTATACATTCAGTTTGACAAAGTATTTTGTACACTTCTTAAAGTAACTGGCACTTCAGTGCAGTCATAAATGAGCATAAATTTGGAATTTAAGAGTCTACCTGAAGGTGACAAAAAGCACTTAACAGTTCTGAATAATCGCAAGAGTTTGAGAAAAGAAATCTTCATGAGCAAAAGTGAACAAAAAAGTGACACGTGGCTGCAGTAGTATTGGAATGATGTGTTCTCTTTCAAATATTGTGTAGACAGAAGTGTCTTACTCTGAAGTATTGTTAACATATCTCCCTGAATTTTGGAAGGCAAATGGGAAGAAAAAGTATAAAGTTTAGCAGCTGGTGGATTATCCAATATTGGAATCATAGCATGCATTACTTATTTATTAAGATTTAGTATCCAGGATCTGGTTTGTTCCCAAATGCATAGTTTGCTCACATTTGGGACACAAGCCAGGTCTGGTTTCGAAGCTGAAATTTTCTAAGAGGTCTAGGGGGAGAAATGTGAGATTAAAACATGGAGATTTTTGTTTACAGTACATAATACAAAAAGGTTTTGGTTAAAAGTGAGGAAATATCTTTTAAAAACTGCACGATCTTACTATGTGGAAAGGGTTGGGGGAGGAAGAAGAGAAGGAGGAGAAATCCTCACCACTGTTTGTCCTAAAGTTATGACTCATCCATAAACTGTTTGTATGACCCAGAGAGCTGCCTGCTCGGCCCACCCTGCAAATTGCTGTTTGTTTTGTTTTTTAAACTTGGGTCACATGTAATTGAATTAGGCATCTGAAAGGCAGCCTAATGATTACCTTGGTACTGTACATGTCGAAACAGAAACCTATGGCTTTCTGAGGTGAATTGGCTAAATTGAAGAAGGCAAAACATGAAATCATGCCACAACTATTGGAATGGCCATCTTTCCCTCCATGGGCTGGGCGCCTCCCGCTGTTTTGTGATAAGGATTTTTCAACAACTGAAACTGTAACTAAATGCTGAAAGAAACTTCATTCAGTTTTCTGCCTATTAGACCATTATTGAACATTTCCGAATAGAAGCAGTACTTCAAATAGATCAAATAGCTGTTTGCATGGCCTCTCATCCTTATATCTGATAGATAGATATGGGTAGTGACACAATAAAACATCTAAACTGAAAGTAGAAGTTTTATGAATGGATATGGGAGGAAGGGGTGATATCAGTTATCACAGAGATGGATTTCCAGAATAAAAGGACTTTCCCTTGGGCCCAATTTCTCTTCTATATGACCACCCAAAACCATATTAAACAAACAAATTAAGACTCCTTTTAGGGTTTCAGTGATAGAGGCATCCCACTGCTGCTTCTGTTGTCTACCCATGTGGAGGAAGGTTTCCAGTTTGATATTTTTCCCTTTGCAAATCAGATTATCCTTTATTATATTGTCCCTCCTCCCAGGTTACAACCCTAACCCTGCCCCTGATGTACTTGGTTTTTTGTGGGTTTTTTACATGTAGGAAGTGTTTGATCTTTGATAACATTCAGATATGATCCTGATTTGCTAATACAATTATTCAACAGGATATTCGTTAACATGTGGTTCAGTCCTTTGAGGCAAGAAAGAATGTGGGTATATAGAGAGCCTGTTGTTAGGGGAGGACCAAATCCAGAGGGAGGAATTTTGTAATCACACTGAACTTACACAGTGGGATAGATGATTGGTTTAAATACATTCAGTAAGTGGCTTTAGCATGCATAAGTGAAGGGGAGAGCTACTGGTAGTTTGGTATTTTGCAGTGGCTGGAAGAGAGATAATGGCTCAAACTCAAAATTCTCACTTTTCTGCTTATGGAAGTGGAGTTGTTGATTGGGTTTCATTTTTCTCTTCTTTCCAGTAAATAATCTTTGGTGGATGGGTGTGTCACTTACCTCAGATCCCCAATTCTTGAATGATAACAAATCCCATAAATAACAAAGTTTAGGGTGGTGGGCCATATACATTCATACAAGCCTCTTCTATTTTGGATTGTCTGAAGTATAAAAATATGTTAGTTGCTGCTGCTTTCACAAAGAAGGGTAAAAATCTTTATGCTGTTAACATTTCTGTCCAGTAGTTCCAAAGAAACATTTGTGGGGAATTTGAATAAGCAGTTGGATGATAAAACTCTTGCTCATCCTGTCTGAAGAAAGTAGGCAGAACTTTGGCATTAGTATCAAAAAGTAAGAATAAAGTAAAATTATGGATTCTTTTTGTGCCTGATACCTTCAGTTGGAATTTTGTTTCAGTATTTTAATTCAGAGTATGCTGTCTTTTGCTGTCAATTTTGGCTTTGCATGCATTTGTTCTTACTACTATTACTTTGCTTTTCACAATTAAAAGGACAAATTAAAGTAATAGATTCTCCATTTTAATCCATTTTGTGAGATTATTTCAAGATGAAGTGTTAATTCTGGGGAAAATCTTGGGTATCAAAAGAATCTTGATTTATAATCTTGCTTGCTTGCTTTGCTACAAGGGATAGTAGGGACAAGCCCCTCTTACCTCCAGTGGAGAGCCTAATCCTATTCCTGGGTATAAATTGTGTAGCAAATAACAGCATTTGGGAAACCTTAGGCTTGTGAACAGAGTTTGCTTGATTGAGGGATACCACGTTCCACCCAGGTGGTAGATTACTTCGCATGCTAAGTCGTTGTGCAACAATTCGCTAGAAAAAATGGGCAAGATTTTTCCCCCTCTGTTGGTGTTTCTTATCTTTTGTAATATTGTGAAAAACCATCCAACTTTTAGAAAAGCTGCTGTGTGCAAACAGCTTACAAGTGACCTGCATGTCCTTTGGTTTATTTTAAAAGTTTAAATTTATTAAACTAATGGATCACTTGATTTATCTCAGTGTAAAGTACTCTGAGCCATCTGAATTTCTTCCGTATTAAGTGGTGAAATGAAATCTAAAAGAAAAAAAAAACTTTAGGGAATTCCTTTTCATGACATCATTCCTAGTTAATACCAAATTACAATAAGTGTATTTGTAGTTCCTTTAGAACAGTGTCAAAAATATTGTTACCAAGGAAATATATTACCAAGGAAAGGATCATGGAATGCCTTTTGTGGAGCAGAACTTTATATGTTTAGAAAACCTATGATCTGTTGCTTCATGCTTTGTAAATATTTGCGCGACAACTGTCCCAGTATCTGGATGAAGCCGATTATCTAGACCCGTTCCAGTCGGGCTTCAGGCCAGGGCACAGCACGGAAATGGCATTGGTCGCATTGGTTGATGATCTCTGGAGGGCTCGGGACAGGGGTTGCTCCTCTGTCCTTGTCCTATTAAATCTCTCAGTGCCTTTTGATACCATCGACCATGGTATCATGCTGCGATGATTGGAGGGGTTGGGAGTGGGGGGGCACTGTGTTGCGGTGGTTCTCCTCCTTCCTCTCCGACCGTGTGCAGTTTGTGTTGGCAGGGGGGCAGAGGTCGACCCCGAGGCACCTTGTATGTGGGGTGCCACAAGGGTCAGTCCTCTTGCCCCTTCTGTTCAACATTTATGTGAAGCTGCTGGGCGAGATCATCCCTAGTTTCGGGGTGAGATTCCATCAGTACGCTGACGACACTCAGCTGTACATCTCCATCCCTGACCACCCCAACGATGCCCTTGACGTGATGTCCCGGTGCATGGAGGCCGTGCGGATCTGGATGGGGAGAAACAGGCTCAAACTCAACCCCTCCAAGACTGAGTGGCTGTGGCTCCCGGCGTCCCGGTATAGTCAGGTGGCGCCATCGCTGACTATTGGGGATGAGACCCTGGCCCCCTCAGAGAGGGCTTGCAACTTGGGTGTTCTCCTGGATGCACGGCTGTCTTTGGCAGATCACATGATGGCCATGGCCAGGGGAGCTTTCTATCGGGTTCGCCTGATGCACCAGTTGCGTCCCTTTCTGGACCAGGATGCCCTGCGCATGGTCACTCAAGCCCTCATCGCATCCCGTCTGGACTACTGCAATGCTCTCTACATGGGGCTCCCCTTGAAGAACACTCGGAGGCTCCAGCTGGTCCAGAATGTGGCTGCGCAGGTGGAATGCGCCGAGTCGCACCCACGTAACACCCCTCCTGCGCGAGCTGCACTGGCTCCCGTTGGTCTTCCGAGTGCGATTCAAGATGTTGGTCACCACCTTTAAAGCGCTCCATGGCTTAGGACCGGGGTACATACGAGACCGCCTTCTGCCATCAACAACCTCACACCGGCCAATATGCTCCAACAGAGAGGGGCTCCTCAGGGTGCCATCGGCGAAACAATGTCGACTGGTGACACCCAGGGGGAGAGCCTTCTCTGTGGGGGCACCAGCCCTTTGGAATGAGCTGCCCCTAGAGCTTCATCTTAGCCCCGACCTGCGTACTTTTTGCCGTGCCCTTAAGACCCTTCTGTTTCAGCAAGCCGGACTGGCTGGCCTAATATGAATTTTAAATGGGCGTATGTGTGTTTTAATTTGAGGGCCAAATTTTATATATTTGATTTTAATTGGTTTTAAATTTTATAAATTTATGTGTTTTAATATGGCTGTACACCGTCCTGAGTCCCCTGGGAGAAGGGCGGTATAGAAATCTAATAAACTTTCAAACTTATCTAAAGAGAGAGAAACAGATTGACCACGGGCAGGTAAAAAGGCAGTGGGAGCAGGAGTGACTTTCGATTTACTGCTGGCTTCCCCATTGACTTTGCTTGTGTGACCATCGAGAATCATAATCACATGAACATAGCTGACTGTGGTGATGCTGTAGCAGCCACAAGTTTACAAAAAGAACTAGCCTGAAGATTCTTGAAATTTCAATTCCATTGGAGTAAGGAGTCCTGGATTTGGGGCACATTCTTTAAGCTAGCACATTTGCAGTAGTTCAATTTAAAAAAATGTTGCTCTATGATGCACCCTTTTAGCTAAATGAAGGTTACAAACCAACAACATAGAGAATTTTAATAGGATATTGAGCCGCGGTGGTGCAGTGGTTAGAGTGCAGTACTGCAGGCTACTTTCGCTGCCTGCCGGCTGCCTGCAATTTGGCAGTTCAAATCTCACCAGGCTCAAGGTTGACTCAGCCTTCCATCCTTCTGAAGTGGGTAAAGGGGGGGACCCAGATGTTGGGGGCAATATGCTGACTCTGTAAACTGCTTAGGGAGGGCTATAAAGCACTGTAAAATGGTATAGAAGTCTTAAGTGCTATTGCTATATAGATTCTAAGGTATATGATAAGATCCCAGTTGATTGGACATCATTCTAGTAAAATAAATATCACACCACAGAAGTATCCATATACTCTAATTATAATCATTTACATACCTATGGGCTGCCTTAAAGGAAAGAAATGCAGGACATCCTCTGTTAATCCTCTGGACAGCTGAGATTGTACAGATTACATGTAGAAATTCAGAAAAAGAAATGTGGCCAACTTGCACAATAGTTCTGAAGAACAGGGTATGGACTGGCTTCAATGGAATTTTTAATAGTTTCATAGCCATAAATTGTCCTTCAAAGTATATGAATGTGCCAACCAGAATTTTAGTTTGAATTTCCGTCGAAACAATGCAAAAGAAGTGTCTCTTTCCCCTCCCATTTCAGTTGCACTAAAATATTTTTGTTCTTTTCCTAGACTGATGGCATTACCATGGAAACCATTGTGAGAAGAGCAGGCTTTCCAGCTGGTATCTCCATAATTGTGTGGTGCTTTTGGAAGCAGAGCCCATCTCCAGCCAACTCTGTTCACTTCCACCAGCACAGACGCGGACATGCATCATTGGAATGAAATTTCATTGAGGGGTGGTTGAGTCTACAGTCGCGCTAATCCAAATGAACTTTTGTCATGGATGAGTTTGGATGAAACAGGTTTTTTTTTCTCTCTCTCCCCACCCTGCTCCCTGGCTCTCCTAGCACCATCTGTGAGACGATACGAATGCTCGAGTAGAAAAACGATAACTTCCTGCACTATTTCTACATCTCCTGCAGCCGGTTTTTGTTTCGAGAAGTCGCAGTATCAGAGAAGCTTCCTATCATGGGTTTGCTTTTCTTGTACTTGAAGTGATAGCTGAAACAATTTATCATTGGCTTAGAATTATTATTATTATTATTATTATTATTTTTGGCAATTAAAAACCTATTTTGAGAGGATGGGGAACACATGTCAAGGCGATAATCCTAAACAAAGTTATTTGTAACTCATTGAAATCAGTAGATCATAGTTCCAGAGCTAGAGGCCTGCAGCTAGTCTTTTGGGTAGTAAAATTCCAACACACACATGCACACAACACTCCCAGTTTCCCTTAGCTAAAACAGTAGAGTCTGGGAGAACGCTGTTTCCATTGCCTGCCTGTTCTTGCATGCGCCATAGAGATGCTCTTGTTTACCTTATTCCCTGCCTCCTCTAGAGAAGCTACCACCTCTCTTCTCCTTCCCACCTTGGCAAAATAGTCCTTTCTCAATTGTTCCCATAGTGGCCCCTTGGAAAGTGACCACTGATGGTAGCTGCAATTGCTGGAAAGCAGGTGAACTAACTGCCAGTTGGTGGGTGGGAGAACCTAGCATGGTTCCTCTTTTCTTCTGCAAAAGAATGAGACAAGCAGAGGTCACAGTCTGGTACTCAGTTACAAGGGAAGAAGCGTCCGTGGATTTATTGGTACTTAAAGGCCAGCACGCATAGAATGGGGCTGTGAATGAACAGTCCTCTCTCATGCTGATTGATCCCCACTAGGTGATGGTGAGATTTCACAGCCACAAAGAGCAATTTGCTATAAACAAGAGAAGTGGTACTCTCTTTTTTTGTTTGTTTAATTTCACTTTACGGTACAATAAATTTATGAGTCCTATATCTTTTTTTTTTAAATAAATCTATGTCCTCTTAAATTTAAGAGTGTTCTGAGAATATCTGGAATGTAAAAAATAGAACTGAAGAATTGGTTGTATCTTGATTACAGTTAAAGCATTTTCTTATGTCCCTGTATAGTTACTTCTATGACTTTTAAATTTTGGATAAATGGGGAGTTGATTTTTTTATAAGCTGAAATGGAAAAAAAAAAATTGCAAACTTTGCAGTTGTATATTACCCTTGCGTTACGATGTTAATGTGCTGTAGAGCTTTTATAGAGAGAATCCCTTAATCTTACACTTTGATAAAAGATCCCTTTTATTTGGAGCCATTCTTTTATTTTCCCCTAAAGTTAGCAAAAATGTAACTAATAACTTTATTATTATTAATAATATTATTATGCCTAATGTGGGGAAAAGAAGACCTTTCTTATTAGGGGTGTTGTTTAAAATTGGAAATTCAAAATTATAGCGAAAGCTAGGTACATCAATCCTAGGCTTCTGTCCTTAGAGAACGTGACGCTAGGGTCGGTACATTGAGTGTGCATTAATAATTAGAAGCACTGATATTTGAAGGAGTTGAAAGCAGGACACAGATCCTCAGGTGCCACATGGCTGATATTCCTTTTACCTTGAATATTGTACAAATATGAAGTGCTGCCTCATGTTTTGACATCTGATCTTTTGTAAAGCAAATTAGATCCTTTTCAGTTTTGATGTCCATCACCATGTACTGGAATCTTTTTTTTGGTTCAATTTAACGTGCTTGTCACCTAACGGTCTAGGGAACTTTTGCCAAATACAGCCGATACCGATGAATTTATGTGGAGTGCTGTAATCAGAAAGGAAAAAAAAATGTTGCAGAGTTTAAAAGCACAGATAAGTTTTTGAATCTATTAAAGCAGGATTTTCAAGAGTAAAGTTAACCAGTTGCTGCTAACTTTAAAAGTATGACCACTTTTCTAGATTGCAGTGCTGTCTTGCCAGGTTCTTTTGGTTAGGATTCTGTAAATTGGCAATGCAATAGGCTAGCCCTCACCAAAGGAGCATCCCGACCAATTTGTTTAGTTTGCCTATCCCAGAATCCCCAGCCATGCTAGCAGGAATTCTGGGAGTCTGAACATCTCTGGAAGGGTACCAATTTGGAAGAGGCTGCAGAAGGTACTTTTTACATCTTTTAGTTGAATAAATAAAATGGAGGGTGACAGTTCAAAGAGATGAATTGTGAAAAAAGTTTGATGAAAGCCACATTCACTACATATGAATTCCCGAGGCGGCCATAGAGCACTGATTTTACAAATGCTGAATCAATGGGTAACCTCACAACTACTGGTACAAAGATTAACAGGTACAGCATAATAAAATATGCAATCTTTCTTGTCTTAGTTTACAGCAACTAACTTATTCAGTATTGTGCTGGAGGACCATCTCCCAACCATATCGCTCTGTGTGGGCCACCTTCCAGCCACCCATTTGATGCTGCTGTAGAGTACAGAGAAACCAACGATGGAACAATGTTTGTCCTGTAAATTTTAATTTGATATTGGACAGTTGTCTGTACAAACTAAAAACATATATGGTTGAAATTGTTCATTATATTTGCTATTTCTGCTTCACTGATCTGTTTAAAGGTTTGAGCTGATTGATCTGGCTGTGTCTTCCATTGTAAATATTGTTACATTGTTTTTCATGGTAAAATGCAGCACATTTGCAATTTTGGGAGACTAGCTTGAAGCTCTGTATAGTGTTTATATTTATCTGAATTGGCTTTCCATAGAGCTACTTGCAGTAAATGTGTTCATGTAGTGAGTGGTTGAGTGATTCTTTAGACTCCTGACTTCAAGAGCGACATGCGCCCATGTTCAGTTCATATTAAGAGTAGATTTAAATCTTTAAAATGCTTCACATGTACCTCTTCAGCTAAACACTTCTGTGGGTTGTTTGGAATGCCCCAAGGATACTATTTTTTATTATTCATTTAAAACTGTAACAAGCATGAGCCCAAGTGTGATTTACCTGAAAGTATGATTTAAGGCACTTTTTAATGTATTATAGTTTAACTCCTGTATAGTTCCTTTTTTCTTAAAAAAAAAAAAAAGTGGAGAAAACTTTTTTAAAGCAAGAGGTCTCGTCGTAAATCATTCACAGCCATTCACTTCCTTCACAGAAAATGCCTTTCCAGATGCCTAAAATAATATATGAGCCAGAGGTCATGAGTGGCTTGTGATCAATTGTATCACAGTTCTGAATTTCAGGAAATGCCACGTTGTCCGAAATCCTCCCTTCCCAAGTTTCATTTCTCCAACAAGATCATCCCAGGCCTAAAGAAACCTGGTTCAAAGGAACATCTGAATTAAAATGGACACAAGGGAAACACTTACTTTGGGCTGTACTACCACTAATGAAATAATAGCCTATAATCAATCAATAAATAGGAGTTGTCTCCTATCTGAAAATGCTGTAAGAACTTTCACCATTTTAGCTGGATGATTCAAGCTTTCCAAACAGTTTTCATTACTAGGACTATACATTTGATAGACGCCACAAGCCTTATATCCCCAGAGAACTAAAACAATTTAGATTCTCCTAATCATTGTTAATGTTCTTCAACCGTCTTCTCCAAGGTAGTTCTGGCTATGGCCAAATAGGAACCACGGTTTAACCAATTCAGGAGGTGCCAGCTTCTGAGAAAAGCTGGCTTATATATGTTCTTTTACCTTACAAATTATGATTGGAACTGGAGAAAAGCCTTATGGAAAGAAAAATGGAAATCTGGAGACAATGTTAACTGTGCAATTTGGAAAAACTTTGAGCATCTAATATAACTCAACCTTTGAAGAGATCCTCCTCTATCTGTGTTTCTGAAAATGTCTGCAGCTATTTGGACTCTTGACTTCAGCTCTGATCCTTGGGTTTATGTGTTGGGGTTGGGGGGAGATCTTCCTGGAGATCTTACAGAACTCCCCCACCCCCCACCCCACTAGACAATGGTGTAATCACCGGGACAAACATGATTTTCCCTTTCCCTGTTCCTTTAGCTCTGCTGGACTAAACTTAGCAGGTTTAAGGATCTTTAAGAATCTCTTAAGACCTCTGATGCCGGAAGATTGATCCGGACGTATTAAGTGCTCATCATGATACCTTGCCTTAATCTTGCCACAACGCTAAAGTCAGCCCTGCAGATTGAAAGCTGCAAAACAAATCAAATGCTGAACCAAGATGAAGACAAAGCTGATTCTTTTCTTCCTGGAATAAATTTAATTGATAAAGGAGACTATTCGTAGTTCATGGTTGAAATGAGGGGTACTTGGTGCTTTCTGAGTTTGGTTGTTTTCTTGAAGACATTTCATTGCCCAAACTAGGTAACAACTCAGCAAGAAAATAGCCAAGTTCGGAGATCATCAAGGACTCTTCATATATTTAATCAAATACACCCTCTGTATTTTAACCCAGTTTTTTAGAGCCACTAGAAATTATGTTCCACCCTCCCAAATCTTGAATTTGAGACATTTTCACTCCCAACCTATGCTGAAAAGGCAGAACCAATCTGCACTCCCTTAATTGTTTAGAAAAAAAGTACTGATAGCAAAATCAAAGCATTTTGGTTTTTGTCTTTCCTACGGCAGAATCCTATCCTGGACAGAAAACGTCACAGAAGTGATTAGTAAACTTTTCCCATGAGACCACCTAGGGTATTAACCAAACACAGCAATTCATATTCTATGTGTTTGCGTATCATTCAATACAGTTAGCTTTTGAAGCATGCAGTTAATTCCAGGTGCTTCTGGAATTAAAACAGGAAATATTTACAGGGCTTTTCTTTCTAATTGGACTTTGTTTTCTCTGGCGGAAACAGGCAAACCTTTCTCTTTCTCCCAAAGATTAAAATCGTAACCCACAGCAAAGTCACTCCGTGTACTGCATGCTTTCCAGATGAAACAGCCCATGCAGACAGCTCCCCTTTCTCCCGGCCTCATGTTATAGCAGACAGCATATGTTAGGAAGGGGGGAAGCACTCCTGCTACGTAGCAGAAAGTCATGCGAGCAGTAAATAAACAAGGCACATTATCCAAACAGTGTTGGATAATGGTTGCAACTTTTTTTTTTTTGAGCAAAAGTACTGCTGAAGGGGCTCTGCTTTTGAAATGATTTACTGAACCTGAAAACGATGGTCAACACTTTTATTTCAGAGTTTCAATGGCGTTGGTGAGTTTCTGGCTACTTACGAGGCTCCTCTCCAGAGCAGAGGGACAACTTCTCTAAGAGGACCAGTTGTTTGAAAGACCCTCCCCTTTAGAGGTTTCTTTGAGAGTTTATGCACCTTGTGTATCCAATCACCAAGAGCCTTGGTAGTACAGTGGTCTAAGGCACCCTGTTATTAAGCTGGTTATTAAGACCAGCTGCCTGCAATTACTGCAGGTTCGAATCTCGCCAAGGCTCAAGGTCGACTCAGCCTTCCATCCTTTCTAAGGTAGGTAAATTGAGGACCCAGTTGTGGAGGCAATAAGCTGACTTTGTATAAATATACAAAAGGATGAAGGCTATTGCTGAGCACATTGTAAGCCGCCCTGAGTCTCCGGAGAAGGGCGGCATATAAATCAAATTAAAAAAAAAAAAATCACACTTGGCCAAGAAAGAATTCTATTCTTTCGGGGAGGGGTTTCCCCCCAAAATACTAACAGGAGTGGGAATTTGGTGCTTAGAGGAAAGACAGAATGAAAAAAATAGAATTGGACTTAAAAAAAACCCTGGTCTAACCTAGAAATGTTTGTAGAAACCTGCCTTTCCAATTTCTTAAGAGATAATTTCCCTGTCAGGTTTTCATTAAGATTATGTAGAAGTCTGTCTTTCCAATTTCTTCAGAATTTCCCCCCCCCCCATGGGATTGGCCGCATGGATGGACAGATAAATAAAAGAGATGGGAAGTCATATAGTTTCATAAAGAGAAGAGGGCTGATGGTGTGTTTTTCTTTTAAAAATGCGTTTCTTGTTCCATAGCCTTGTCTGCCCACACCTCCAAATCTGGAGCACCCACAACTTCTGAAGGCAAGCTCTTCCACTGGTTAATTGCTATCACTGTTAGGAAATTTCTCCTTAGTTCTAGGGTGCTCCTCTCCTTGATTAGTTTCCATCTATTGTTTCTTGTCTTGCCTTCTGGTGCTTCGGAGAACAGGTTGAACTCCTCTTCTTTGTCACAGCCTCTCAAATATTGGAACACTGATCATATCACCACTAGTTTTTTAACAGATTAACAGAATTGGAAAGGACCTTGCAGATCATCTAGTCCAACCCCCTGACCAAGCAGGAGACCCTACACCAGTGTTGGTGACCCTTTTTGGCACCGAGTGCTGAAACGGGAGCATGCGCATGCACATGCCAGAAACCAGAAGAGCAGCCGCCTGGCGCGCATATGCGTGCCGGGAACATGATCTTCTGGTTTTCAGCATGTACATGTGCACTGGCCAGCTGGTCTTCACGTGCGCATACACGCCAGAAACTGGAAGACCAGGTGGCCGGTGCACATGCATGTGCCGGAAACCGGAAGATCATCTTCCCGATGCGCGCATGTGCACCGGGCAACTGCTCTTCTGGTTTCCAGCGCTCCCGTGCACGTGAAGACCAGCTGGCCAGCGCACCAGAAGAGCTCATGTGCCCAGAGAGATGGCTCTGCGTGGCACTTCTGGCACACGTGCCATAGATTCACCATCACAGCCCTACACCATTTCTGACAGATGGCAGCCCAGTCTCTTGAAAGCTTCCAGCGATGAAGCTCACACAACTTCTGAAAGCAAGCTGGTCCATTGGTTGATTGCTTTCACTGTCAGAAAATTTCTCCTTATTTCCAGGTTGAATCCTTGTTCAGTTTCCATCCATTGTTCTTCGTTTGGCCTTCAGGTGCCTTGGAAAATAGCTTGACCCCCTTCTCTCTGTGGCAGCCCCTCAAATATTGGAACACTGCTATCATGGTCCTTCTCTTCACTAGACTAGCCATGCCCAGTTCCTGCAACAGTTCATCATGTTTTAGCCTCCAGTCCCCTAAACATCTTGGTTGCTCCTCTCTGGACTCTTTCTAGAGTCTCAACATCTTTTTTATAGTGTGGTGACCAAAACTGGATGCAGTATTCTAGGTGTGGTCTAGTTCTTTTCACTAGACTAGACAAACCCAATTCCTGCAACCAGTTTTCATACGTTTAGGCTCCAGCCCTCTAATCATCTTTGTTGCTCTTTTCTGCACTCTTCCCAGAGTCTCTACATCTACCATTAACTGCCTTCCTGGTCCAGCGGAGAAGAGTGAACCTTATACAAGAGACTTCATAATGAAACAGCTTTAAGATCGAATTAAGCTGCGGTCATACAGTGAGAAATGGAAAGCAAACATGTACTTCAAACCCCTCTTGAATATAACAACAACAACAAAACCCTGACTATACTGCAGGGCAGTCTTGATGGCAAAGGTGTATCCCATAGAAAGCTGTCTTGAGCTGTTTTGAGGAAATGCTGGAATGCCATAAACATGATGTTTCAGGAGAAGTGCTGGCCATGTTCATCATTTTCCCCATCAGAGATGACAATACTGATACTACAGACCAGTTCAGGTTTTAGACAGCCCAATCAAAGGAAAAAACAATTATTAGTTTTGGTTCAGCAGACATTAGCAGAGGATGGAGGAAGACTTTAAGACTTCCATTTAAGACTGTGATTGATAAACCACAGATTGCCAGATCCCAAGAATATATGTCAAGATTACATCCATGTTCTTTAAATGCCCTCCTCCTTATGCCTCCACCCTTTGCCATCTCTTCAC